GAAAGTGGGGGGAACCATGTTTGCTCTCCACGTTGGGCATTAACCATTCTACCCACAGCACTTCAATCCCCCTCTCTCACCAACTAACAATTAACAAATTACTTAATTTACCTTAACAGGAGACAAGTGCTGCCTGTGGTTTCAGTGTACCAGTGGCCCAGCCCTCCCAAAAAGTTTTAGAGCACCACTCCCCCCCCCCCCCACTCAATTTGGAAAAGATAAAAGATCTGGAGCTGTCCTGTGTCGTGTATTGAGAACTGAGAACAATAATGAATGTATACAAATCAGTAGTTAAAACTAATTATGTGCCTTCTGCGTAATTCATGCCCTAGTTAATGAAATTGTGGAGGTGACTGGATTTGATCCTAACAAGTTGGGCCGACTGAAGGTTCTGGAGCTACGTGGTAACAAACTGATGACCACAGTAGGACTGTTTAACCTTCCAAACTTAAAAGAGCTTTATCTGGTGAGATAACACTGGTACAATAATTATTATTAACATCTTGCTTGTAATAGCAATTATGGGTAGAAATCCTATTACAATCTTGTGAAAGTTTTGAAAGATAATAATAATAATAATAATGAATGTTGGTCGTTTCGCCAACGAGTCGTTTCGCAAACATGTAGAAGACAGTTCGCAAACGTTAGAAGTCAATTCGCAAACGTTATCAACATTTACATGTGTTCCCGAATACGGCTTTAGTCCACAAGTATCCATGGAATTTGACATACGAGTGCGCAAGTTTTTGAATCCATTATGAATCCAGAATCATGTGGATACTGAATCCGGATAATTTTTTATCCAGTGACGTAGCAAGATCGAACCCAGTTCTTTATCGTGAATACTGTAAAAGATGGCAACCTCAACGCATGCTCTGTTGCCAATATTCCCAGAGGAGTCCTGAGTACTAGGGTGATTTAGATACGTGTCGGATACGTGAGGACAGGCAAATTCGATTTGAAAATGGATACGTGTGGAAAGAAAAAGTTGTGGATTAAAGAATATTGGGATACATGTGAACGAGGCCAAGGGGCCATTTAAAGCAGCGACCTTCAAAAATAAGAGGCTACTTTGCTCTTTGAAAAGCTGACTACTTTTAATGTTTTAAATGTATGTTTTCTCACTAAGAAACTCACTGTAGTAAACGTTTTTTATTTATCATTATTTTTTTGCCTTCAGGCAGCAAACACGATCCGCAGTCTTGAGGGACTGGACAGACTGGAACATCTAGCAAAGCTACATCTCCGTGATAACCAGATTGAGAA